ACAGGTATGTGGACACTTAAGGAAACCTTGTATTTAAGGATGGAATATTTCTGGCACTTGTTTAACACTTATGCTATCGGTGAGAACTTCCTTGGCTGTAACTTCACTGGCAATTTGTGAATCCACCCAGGAAAGAATAAACCTACCATTCCCAGCAGCTGCACTCAGACTTATGATGTTGGTACTTTAGAACACTAGTACAACTTCCTTTGTTGTTGAGATTTCAATGTGATTTTATTATTTGATATAGGCTGCTCTATTCCCATTTTATTTTCCCCTTCTACTTCTGCCAGCATTACTTTTGATAGCCAGAGAACTCCAAAGACACTATGAAACTTTTAAATGTTCCCAAATTTTAGAATAAGTTTACAAGAAAGATGGGCTTGGGTTTCTAAAGTTCAGGAGGGCCACGAGCACCCAAGCAAACATGAGGGTAACATTGAAGGCTCCAAGTAACCAGCTCTAGGAGAACTAGCTTCAGGCACTTCTGGGATTGGTAGGAGACAAAGAGCTTTCATCTTTTTGCCAACTTCATCTCCAAGCAGAGAGGTAAATACCAGGCCAAAAGTGTGTCCTTGTAAATGCCAACCCACTGTCAACCCACAGCTTTGAAAATAAACTATGTGCAAATCAAGCAACAATTTGTTCCCTCTTGCCCTATCTCATTTTTCTCTTTCTATGAATACAGGACTTACCTTTTTTCTCAGTCAGAAGAAACCAAGGAGATGTGAATTCTACTTTTGACTAAAAAAGATCCTTATGGCTATGTAGTAAGAGTCCGCATGAAGGGMGGGGAGGCCATGCAGAGGCACCTTGAGAGGACTGAGACAAAGGCCAATACAAAGTCCATGAAGTTCAACCAGGAGACATAAAAGATCCTACACCTGGGTCATGGCAATCCCAGGCATGCCTAYGTGTTGGGTGGAGAATGGACTGAGAGCAGCCCTGCAGAGAAAAATCTGGGTTGATGAAAAACTCAACATKAGCTGGTGGTGAGTGCTCACAGCCCAGAAAGCCAAACATGCCCTGGGCTGCATCAAAAGCAGTGTGGCCAGCAGCTTCTGGTCTTCTTCCCCAAGGGCAGGGGCACACACTGATACCTAAAGCCCATAAGAAGACCAAGAGGAGCTACTTCTCTGATCCACAGAGAAGGAAGTTAATCCGAAGTAAGAAATCCGTGCTTCTGCAACTTCTTTATGCATTAGCCTTAGCATGCTCTGAAAGAATATAAGAACAGCTGTATGAATTCAGAACCAAGGACTGTATAGCCCTGTATCTGCCCTTTAGTGGCATGTAGACAAGTGGAAAAGAGGAAAGTGAGAGGAATGAAGAATAGGAGCAAAGAATATTTTGTCAACCTCCATCAGTCTGTAATTTCTTTTCTGGGAATTGCCTGGGAGAGAGATATTGGCATTGTATTAAAGCTGACCTCAGAGGAGTTTCCTTCTCTGTATTCAGGCCTGTTGTACATTGGAGCTACACGTCATGTAATGAACCACACCAGGAAGCCTCAATCACCAGCTCCATTCCAGTCTGAAGAGTCCCAACCTGCATGACTCTTCCTCAGAAAGCAATGCTTCTTCATCTTTGATTATCCCCCTCACTCTGCTTTTTTACAGCCAGTTATGCTGGGGGCAGAAAATGGACTGGTGCATTTTAATCTATTTACTTTTGTCTCAAAAATAATGTGATTTGCATAATTGTATTMATCTTTTACCATAAATTTCTCAAAGGAAACACACAGATTCTCTTCACACAATTGAACTTCCTGAAGTAATTTCAGTAGGCTTGTACAAGCCTTTGACACAGAACCCCAACTATGACAAAAATCTGCCATATAGTATATAGCACATATAGCCAGGCCACCATATATGGGTTAGGAATGCTCTCAGTACAAGACCTTGACTTTAATACTTTGTATTTCAAAGTACTGGATATTTCTTGATAGAAGCTGGGAAAGTAATTGTCAAACCAGCCAGTGTCTGGACATCGCCAAATATTTCCTTTATATCGCTAGGACCAAATTAATGTATTCTCAATTTAAGGATTTGATATAAAATAGAGTAGTTYATGATTATTTAATTTCAAAAAGAGGTACTGAGAGTAGGACAGTTGCTTTTCCGTATTAATTTGTATTTTTCCATATTAATTTGTATTTTTTCATTCTTTTCTCTGCAACTTTATGAAAGGTGTGGACTTTGTATCACTACTCATCAAGTTTTGTATAAATGCAGAGCAGTTCCTTTTATATTCATATCTGTAACAGCACATTTCCTCTAATTTTAAGGTTAGTGTGTGAAGTCTCTGTGCCTATGCTTTAGATTAGATGGCCATTTATTTGTAAATAGCATGAATCTTCAGGACTGTACTCTTTCTTCATCTGTTTAAATCTAATAAAAGCTCAACTCATGTGTCATGAATTGTATAAACATCCACTGCTTCCAAATTAATGTTCCTCTTAGTAAATCTAAATGAAATCTTAGTAAACATGCAGTGGGAATATAAATATAATTCATATAAACATGTATCCATAATAATCACCCATATCATAAACTTGTGGACTGGTGTCATTGCATATGTGATAATAATGTTTTATCTTCAGCTTGCATTCAGCTAGACTTGTACAAGGCAAGATGATCTGTCAACATAAAAAAAGTCTCAGAACTGGAAACGGATAGAAGACACAGGGATGATCATCCATCAGCACCATCATCTATCTGAGTACCCAGGCCACTTAAGACATTCTAAAGATGGGGGTATCAAACATATCGAGTTGATTCTTTTATCCCATGTAGTTTATGAACAAGCTATGTCTAAGAACTACTTMGTAGTTTTGAGGCTTTATGAATCAGTTGGATTACAGTAAAACAATTCCAATCAATAGGATGCTTCAACTGATCCTGCTCCATACAAAGGCTTTTTAGGCAAATGAGGGCTGGCCAATTTCTGCAGTCCCTTCCCCTCACTCTGTTACAGCTCCTCAACTCTAGGAGTGGGGACACTGAAACACATACTCGTGTCTTATGCTTTTACAATAGTTTTATACCTATTGCTTAAGAATTTGTCTTACTGCTTATTAAGCTTGCTCATACCATCTGCTTCCACTGATGCCCTGTGGCTGCAAGACACAGAAGTTGCCACCTGCTAGGTAAAAACGTTCTTTATTTTGACAGTTAACAGCTTCCAAAACATTACCCAAGTCAGGTTTTATGAAGTGTCTGGTGTGGTATAACTACTGGAGGGCTTCAACTGATAAATTGTAAGGGAGTTGTAAGAGCACCGTAGGAGAGTAGAAAACACTCTTTTCTTATACAGATACTAATGTAGCAAAAACCCTAAATCCTTTCCTTTATGCAGATTTCCTTAGAAAGCTAAGACCAGTCTCGTAACAGTTTATACTAAGTTTGTGCTCAACCACTAGCTTCTCTAAAACACAGGCTTACAAATTTTATGCAACAGAAATCCAACACATTCAGCCAAGGTCAAAATAGGTTTTGTGACCATTCCTCAACCTTCCTACCCCTTCCTAAATAATTTTAGAAAATTGATCTGCTCTTKAAAAATTTTAGATAGCCTCACCTCCTTATGGATAAGTTCCCACAGAAACATGTACTCCTTCCTGACTACGAATTTCTATGTATGGGATAAAAATGCTGTGTACTAACTCTAAACTTCTATGAACATTTTCAAAATTTGATTGTTTTTAAAGTAGTTTTCAGCCTGTATTTTTCACCAAGACCAGGGAAGTTCTTTTTTTTGAGCGTGAGAAGAGTCTAATTATTTAATCCAGATGCTCCTTTGTTTATAAAGGGTAATCCATGAGTATATTAACACCAACTACTTCTTCTTGTGCATTCCACTACCTGAATTAATTGCACAGSAAAAGAAATCACTCCCTGATGGCCAGGCTTACACATTTATATACATATAAATAGACAAATAGTGCTGTGCAGATATTGTATATTTTTACCGTTTTCAGAAACCATCATCAAAATGTCACAGTAAARCCAGGCTTAACTTCAGAAATAGCATATATCCCACACTTACTATTAGGCAGTAAAGGTTAGGAAAATCAGCTTGTGCTTAAAGCTGGATTGGATGAGTTACTGCTGATAAAGTCTGACTATCAAGGTTATGCTGCACTGTCTTAAACGCTCAAGAAAAAGCTGCCTGCAGTTATGTACCACAGAGCATGATATGGACAAAGCCTATAAAAAGTTTAAAATTACAAAAGCCACTTAGTGTGCTTGTTACACACATGTGATGTACTGATCTGCTGGCTATTGCAAGATCCTACTGAAGATACGGTCGTGTTTGCAAAGAACCTTTCAGAGAGGGCTCTCCAAGTTTTCTCCAACACGTGGATTGCCATGCTGCTGGAGAGCAGAATGAGGCAGGCCGGCCCAGGTGTACTGCAGCCAGGTTGAGGGCTCTACCTTCAGCTCCATTTCTCTCCCSCGAGGCATCAAAGAGCTTTTAAAAGCAATTGAGCTATGGGAAGGAGGCTCGTCCACATATCCTAATTTGAGGGTCTCAAGCGGGTGTCGGCTCCCTTGCCGTGACTCGCTCCACCAGAGTTAACCTGGAAACCGTGACTCGGGGCTGACGGGTTTATTTTTTCTTTGAGTTTWATCTCCCACGCACAGCCCGCTCCCGGGCCCGCCGCGGGGCTGCCGATGCCTGTGCTCGGGCCGCCCCTGCCCCGCGGCGCCCGCGGCTGAGGGCAGGGCAGCGCCGGCCGGGCCGGGCTGGGTTGGGCTGGGCTGGGCCGGGCAGGGGCGGGGGGCCCGGCGCGGCCCGGGGAAGGCGCTGCCCTTCGTTCCGTGCGAGAGGGCCGGGCTTCCCCAGTTCAGACAAGTCCTTGCCCCACTCCCGCGGCGGCGGGTTTGGTGCGACACCGTCCTGACATGTTGTAACTGGTTTCCACACCCACCGCGCCTGGGAGAGACGGGAAGTACCTGCGATGAGCCGTGCGCCGCCGTGACTCGCCGCCGCCGAGATCGCAGCAGCCGGGTCGAGCCGCCCCGCCGCTCCGCAGGGACACCCCACGCGGGGCACCGGCGCAGTAAGTGGGTCTCCCTTCGCCGGGACGGGACGGGACGGGCAGGGGCAGGGGCAGGGGCAGGGCCGGGCAGTCCCCCGCCCCGCCAGCATGCCGCTCGGAGCCGCGGGTGTTTGAAGCGCGGGTCGCGGAGCGGAGGCGGCGCGGGGGCGCTCCGGCTGTGGGCACAGGGGAGGGCCGGGCGAGGGGGGTGGCCCACGGACGCGGCTCCCGCGGCTCCCAGATCGCTCTCCCCGGGCACAAGCGACCCCCGCGCCGCCGGGCAGGGGGAGCCACACGTGCGGTGTCGCCCAGCGGAGCGCCCGCTGCCTCCGTTCTGCCCGGAAAGTTAACTTTCTGCTTCAACAAACAAAACCATCGCGCAAACAGACCCGCCACAAAACAGATAAACGAAAACAGAAAGAGAAAGGAAGAAAAGCATCAGGAACGCTTGCGGTGCTGTTTTTCACTAGGGTTTGATGCCCTTGGTATTCACAGAAAATGTAATTTCATTAATAATTAAATAATTGCCTGTCAGATCTTAATGTAAGGTAATTATTATTTATTCGTGATACAGTCCTTAATAGAAAGGTTGGTGGAAGGCAGTTGTCATAAAATGCCTGTTGGTTCTGTTAAAGGTCGCTCATGCCAGGCCCTTAAGCCGTGGGGAGGCTCCKTGGCAGAGCCGTGGGTTTGGAGGTGCTCAGGTGGATGCCCCAAAAACCATACCTGAGACTATGCAACAGCTTGCAACATGGGGTTGCTGAGGTTTGAATTTCCGGGCAAGGTTGAAACTTTATGCAGAAACTGTCAAAGTAATCACATTTCCATTGGAAAAGAGATAAGGACATCCTGAGGAGAGCACCATGGCCAGGCCCTTGCCAAGGACCGGCTGTACGAGCCTGAGGTTAGAGCAGCTGCCTAAAGTTGCTGAATAGGAAATTTTTCAAATCCTGTGGATATTAGTATGGCAAGGAAGTTCTTTGTCTCTAGTACTAGCCTGGAACCCCTGTAGAATGTTGCATAATTTTYTTTAGTGGACACTTTGTTGTCTGCTGCATTTGTGAAATCTGGGATACTCTTCAAACCTTCRTATATAAAGGCACAATTACTTCTTTCTCATAGAAAAAGGTGTTTTCTGGCTAAGTTCCTGACAATGGCATTAAAAAGATCTGAGCATGTTGTTAATAGAAGGACAAGATGATCACATCAGTGCAGGATTCAGAATTTGTGTTCTTCAGCAATTTTAGCAGCTCCACTGGAACTTAAATTTAATTTAAGCTCACTAATGACAGATATTAGAAAAGTTTTAAGTTGCTGATCCCCGTGTTGAAGCAGAGAAGTTGGCTGATATGCTGGGCTGGGATTAACAGCCAAGGTTATTTCTTGGAGGATGAACAACCGCTTTCCTGGTACTGGTAAATTTGTGATCAGGTACATAAAGTATGATAAAGATCTGTAAGCCTCCAGAGATGGGCCTCATTCTGCATAACCTTGCTAGTATAATTGCTGACGTGAAGAGGACTTTTGAAGAACCAAGTTTATTATGGAAAAATAACAATATGTGGTTGAAGAAGACAACAAAACGTTCATTTAAGAATTTTGTTTAAACCTCTGCCTCTTTATCCGGAATTATATGGTTGAATAGGTTCAGTTTCTACAAAGTACCTCTTACCTTCTAAGACACAGGAAAATACCTGTGTCAAGACATCTAGAGTGTTTGTCAAGTATACCTGGAGCATTGTTTTAATTTGGGAGTTCCCTTGTGTGAATGTGTCTCATGCTGATGTCCTTAATTTCAAAAACAAGGATTAAAATTTTTTCATTCGTCTCAAGTGTTCTGTGATTTATTTCCATGCTGGCAAATTTTACATTTGCTTTCTTAAATAAATGTGCACTGCTTTAAGTTGCTTTTGTAAACAGCACTTGTAAATCAAACACCAGCTTCAAAGATGTTCACTGTAAAATGACTATTCTTGTTTGGAAGATGCTGCACTAGAAGTCTCACCTTTCCAAGATTACTTATATGTATAGCCTGCTTACAGTATAATTCTGAACATGAGTTGCTCTATTTGACCTAAGCCACAATTAATTTATTCATTATATTCAATGAAAAGTCAAGCAATATACTATAGTATTGTGAAAAACAAATGAAAGAACTAAACCAAATAAAAGAAATGCATGTGAGCCAAAACACACATGCAATAATATTTTACCTTTTATTTGTTCATAACATTCAATATTTKATATTGCACAATGTTACATAGTAAGTATAGTCCTGTTCCCTTAAATTATTTTTGAAGGACAGAATGAGAAGAAGAAAAAATTGATTTAGACAGGCTTTTGAAATAAATGTGTTTYTCAATTGTATTATATGCATTCAGTTGCAAAACTTTTATTTTAGAAATATATCCATTCCAAAGTAGTAAGAATTTTGGAAATATCTTTCACATGATTTTATAAATTTCTATTTATCCTTAAATGTTGTAATAAGACTGAATGTTGAGACTGACTTTTTACTGCAGTAACTAGGGAATTACTTGTCCTGGAGGGCCCTAAAAGAGGGGTGTAATGGAATCTCAGTAAAGTCACATGTATTAGTGTTCAGACTCTTCAGAGCAACTCAGCTGAGTTACCTGTATCTTGTATTCTTGGTTGTTCTTCATCATTTACTTGAAATGTCTAGAAAACTTYTCTAGGTGATTGGGCCACTGATGTGACTGTTTTAATTTTACAGTGTGTTGAGTTTAACTTTTGAATCTGCCTGTCTTGCCTGCCCTGTGTGCTTAGTTCTCCGTTTGCCTTCCGCCACAGGCTGTATCTGCATCTGTAAAAAGGAAAATAATGTCACTCCTATTTTTTAACATTTCATTTCTACCTGCGGAATGGAGAACAGTGTGGAATGAAGGCCTGAATATCTGTCTCAGGAATACATGTAGTTCTCAGGTGGGGGRAGAGCAGTGAGATCCCTTTCGTGTTCTGCTTTCCAGTTCACCACAAAGAGCTACTCTTGAAGCAGCCAGGAACACTCCTTTCCCCCAGGCTCGAAAGCAATCCTATCTGGGAAGATCTGCCCTGCTACTTGGCTGAGAGACAGGATTCAAATGGAATTATTCCATATGACATGCTGATGCCAGCTTCAGATCTGRGTTTTTCTTTCTTGGTCTTTTTTAACCTTAGACTTCCCAAGTTCCTTATAAATCTTGGTTTAATTGAATATTGAATTGGTTTTGAGGTATCAGTAGTTATGGAGATTTTTATTTTCATTCCTTTAGGTTAATATAGCTAATTTACATTTCCTTTCAGGAAGATTTAAGCTGTTCCCAACAGACAGTGGAAAGCAAYTGCCATGTGTGTAAAAATATCTGGAAGATCTTGATGGGAAGAGRGAATTGAGTTACCTTTATATGCCAGTAAATGAAATCAAAACTCCATATGGCTATTTGCTATTATTTTGCTCTACTATTAATCAGGCTTGTAGGGAAACCCAAACTTTCAAGCTATCAAGCCTTTTTCTAGCTATTTTGCCTTCATTGGATGTTCTTCCTRTTTCTGCAGTTTTCCTCTTAAGCTTCATGCCCTAGCCGTGGAAAATGTGCTACCCACTTTCTGTCTTACGTGGCTGTGCTGATGCCGCTGWTGTGAAACATCTCCCCCCATTTCTTTGGTTACTTACGATTGCAGAAACGTGGAGAAAGTATCATTGGCTATTCTCCCTCTATCTTACATCCCAAATGTGCAGCACAAAGCACACAGCCATTGTTAAATGAAGTTTTAAGAAGTATAAGAATGAGTTTATAAAACATCAGCAGTAAATAGCTTGTTATTAATGTTTTGGAAAAAAAAAAGTAAGATTAAAGCAGCCGCTCCTTTTGGCAGAAGGAATGAGCAGGGTGGAAACTAGACATCAAATTGCTGATTCAGAGTTTGATCCCAGATGTGGGAGGATAAATCTTTCTGGAGTTCCTCATAACTCACTGAAATTAGGTAGGCTGGTCCTGCCTGGGAGCAGCAAATGGATTAGATCAGCATGGGAGAACAGATAGATAAGAAGTACCTGAATGACTGTGGTTTAAAAGAAGCTAAAGAAAAGGGATTTGCAAAGACAGTAATTCGTCAAAAAGTAGGAAATTTAATTGGTTTCTGAGGTATTTCTTTGAACAGTATTCAGTTGTTACAAAGGGGGTTTGAAACACCACCTATGACAGTGAATTGGAACATGCACTGGGCATGTATTGGTGTTACTGGTACAGGTGTTCAGTGTACTGTGAGCTCTGATGTAGCTTGTAATATCAGAACTTCCTAAAATCACTGAATTATCTGTTTAGTTTACTTTATGTAAAACCTCTCTATCTATCTATCTATCTCTTTAATTGGAGCACTAGTCCCTGAGCCTTTTCACAATATTTTTAAATTCTTGGAAGATACTAGGAAAAATTAGAGCAACTTAACCTGTAAAGYATTATAGTTAATACTTGTGTGCATGTCATAGATATCTAGAAATATTCTGATTGTTTTCTTACTAATTTTCTCTTTGCAGATACATTTCATCAGCTCATGAATGGAAACTTAAAAGACTTTATACAAAATATATGCAAAAATGGAAACTTCATCCTTACTATCCTCCTTACACGATGAATGCAGATCAGACAACTATATTGAACCTCATTACAAGGAATGGTACCGAATAGCTATTGAYGCTCTGATTGAAGGAGGTTTAGAAGCTTACAAAGAATTTCTTTCCAAAGAGAGATGCTCAGAGTTCCTAGCAGATGAGGAAATTGATTATATTTTGAACAATGTTCACAAACTTCCCCAAAACACAATTTATTCCTCTAACCATGCCATTGATGACACCTCTTCCTCGGGAACCTATTGGCCCATTGAATCAGATGTGGAAGCTCCAAATCTTGACTTAGGTTGGCCGTATCTGATGCCTGGAATTTCTGGTGGCACAAATATTGATCTGCTTTTTCATCCACCACGAGCACAGCCTTACACCATAAAGGAAACCGTTCGGAAGATGATACGAGATGCAAGAAAGGTAAACATAAAAAATAATAATGGGGAAAAAGTGGCAATAATAATAATATTGATGCTTCATTACAAGGTTTTTTTAATTTTTTTTTTGTCCTGGCAGGAAAAAAATATCTGGTTGCTCCCAATTCAGTCAGAAAGGTTTTTCCACACTGAGATCAGTCCTTTGGTGTCACATGGACCAGTGTTATTAACACTAATTCAGAGGGATAAGGGGTAAATTGGAGGGATTAATTAATATTACCATGATAATGAATAATACCATTTTACTGTAATGCTGACCAATGATGAGAAATTTGTGGATATATCAGCACACCTTTTCTTTTACCTCAGTTGAATGTACATCAAGTGATACAATTCTGTATAAGTTCAGGATTTATACTAATGTTTCTCTCTTGCATCAGTGCTGACGTGCATTGATTTGGCACAGCAGACAGTTAAAAGAAAACAACACTTCAGTGTACATCTGATTCATGTACCTTGAGAGTCAGGTTTTGTGATTTTTGCATGTCCTTGTGGAAATCGAAGCGAACTCAGAATGAAAAAAACAAACTAGACTGAGGCAACAAGGAAATAAATTTYACTTGTGTATCTTGCCTTCATTACAGATTAATGACTAGAAATTTGGACATTTCTCCAAATGTACTTGTCTCCACTTAGGGGCACTTGTATCTTGGATTTCCTATGGCACACCCAGCTTACACTTTAGTGACAGAATGTTTTATGTACAAACCACCTTTTGTTCTCAGTATGTTAGTTTAAAACTTCTAAGTTTTAAATTTTTAAAACAATGTCAGTTAAAAAAAAATCAAAAAATGTATTTGCATGAAGATCTGTTTGGCACTGGGTCATAATACCTCTTTAACAGATATGACAAAGCATCAGAAGTATTTCTAGCAAGTATGTCACACTCTCAAATTTTCCCCATGAAATTCAATTGTGTTCTGCATGACTCTATGAGCTTTAAATAGGTAGAATGGGCTCTAGCTCACATAYATCTGTAAACACTTCAGTGGCTGAAATATGTATGTAAATGTGTGCTGTAGAAATGGACTGAACAGGGTGGGGAAGGGAAGGACTGTGTCTTTTTACATTGTCTCTGCTATATTTAGATAAAGSATGTAATTTGTTGCCATAATAGAGTTATCACTAGGCCTTTTATCCTGCAGTTTATAATTTAGAATGACTGTATGCTCACGGAAGAGTTAATTAATTCTCTTCCTCTTTGTCCTTTTCAGAGAGAGATTTGGTGTTTTCTGTTTTGGTATGTAATGACTGTGACTTGCCCAAAATACTCTGTCAGCTACAGCTGCTGACCTACCAATGTATCCACTGTGAGGGAAACAACAAAAACACAGTTAACTCTTTTGACAAGAGTAGTTCAGTTTTGCTACAAGGTCTTGAAATGCCATGAAAACRCCATTTCCCCTTAGTAGGTCCTTGGAACGGAGCTATGGAAAAAAAATCGGTGTGATTCTTGCTTCTCTTTTGAAGAAGGTTAAATGCATARTGTACTGGCTTCCTGATGTGCTTGTGGTGTTTCAACTTTATAATGAGGATGTTTTATGTGTGTCACTGTCAAATCTGACAGCTGAAAGGTTTGTTTAGTTGATCAGCACAACCTCAACATCAACAACCATAACACTTTTGATACAGTGATATAGGGTGGTTGCTTCAGGGAGCAGCAATTAAATCTAAGAGACAAAGCGTTGTTCAGCCTCTTCTGTCTGCAGATGCATAGGAAAGTTTAAAGGATTTCTAAGTAAGGTAAAGTATTTAAAATGTGCTCAGTAGGCAAACACTTTGTAAAAAGGCTAGCATACTTCTCCTAAGCCACTTTAAAAAATGTAGTTATATTAAACAGGTGTCTTTGTTATGTAGTAGTAGAGATGTGTAGTCTTGAGAATATTTAAAGACAGTAGGATAATGTTAAACATGGAAAACAGAAACCTGTAAAGAATAAATCAACAAATCATGTTCAGCCAACAAAGCTCTAAACAAAATTGATGGGAATTTCAACAAACTTCTCTGTGAAAATAAATASGCTGCTGGAGATGGGCTTTTTTCATAGCACCTAAATTTAAGCACCGGGCCTGAGTGTCTGCATTGGGGCATTGATTTCCCTGGGCTACCTGAAAGCTCAATCTAGTAGGAAGCCAACTCCTACAAGATCAAGGCAGAAGATATTTCTGCACTGATTCACTCCATGAAGGAACCCATTTGATGTGTATTTATATGTATGAACTATCCCAAAAATTCATGGAGGAGACTGAGCCACTTGAAACCTAGATTCTTTTGACTATTGGGAGATATATAAGGATGACACTATTAGTGGACTTATTCTTGACCTCTTTCATGCTTGATGCATCACAGTGTCACTCCTTAAAGTGATTATTACCTATGTTAATTTTAACCTTAAGAAGATGTTGTAAACAACATTAAGCAACTTGCTTGCCAATTGATTTTTTTCCCAGCTAAAGAGGAAAATCGTTTGTAAGGCCATACTACACTAGACTAAAATCAGTGACTATGGGAAAGTGCGGTAATAAAATCTTGTCATATGTTTCTTGGATATATAATTAGTATAAAAATTACAGACATTGTAAAGTACACGTGATCTATTAATGGAATTCTTTCAGAAAAGGATCAATACTGTTAAATCCTAAAAAAAAAAAAAAAARCGCTAACCATTTTAAAGAGATGAATCCATGCTTGTGATGTTGTTTCTGAACTTATGTTAGAGCAGGGAAACTGTATTGTGCGCAGCATGGCGTTACATTGCCATCTACACACTACAGCACTTCTGTGGGATAGATGTGATGTTAGCAGAGTGCCTTAGGTCAAACCAAGATGTCAACAAAATTGGCTTACAGTTGGTGTAAGTAGACCTCATCTCTAAATGATAGAGCTTGCCAGCCTCCCTCCTTTGTCAACATAACCTGTGTTCACACAAGGAGGCTGTTTGGCMTGACTGTGTCAACTGGGGCGACACGAAGCTTTTTCACATGTTGATACAACCATGTAAGGGAAAAGCACTGCAAGGTCTGTCTGACCTTACTGATGGGGACTTTTGTAAACAAGCGGGTAGCCTTACTTCTCTTATGTTTTGGAGGCCACTACCTTTAATCATTGGCAGGTTTCCGGCTTCTCTGAAGCTCGAGGTGCTCCYACAGCCTGACTCATCACGGCTGGGCTGTCTGAGCAGCAACTGATAATGTTTAGCAGTTTTTACTGAGATTATTCATCTGGGAAATGGTATCAAGATCATTRCTCATCTGTGTCAGGTTATGGTGGGTTGATGCTGGTTAACCACTTCCTTCTTTTAGTACAGATGGAACTTCCTTCTTTCAGTACGAACTATCACAGAGACTTTAATAATKAAGTGCTCTCTCTATGAATTTTCTTGTGAGTTGCCTCAAAACCATCAGTTATGAGGCTTGTACATGTGTGCAGGAAACATCTTGTACTATTTTCTCAGGTGTGATTGACAGCGTGAGGCAGCAGGGRAAGGACAGGGCAGAGCACCAAAGGGACCTTCTGGCAGTGTGTTGTTCTCCTATTCTAGTARCTAGATTCCTCTGTTGACCATGGAGACGTTTCTACACAGTTTTAGAGAGAAGGCACAGCTGAGTTGTTCAGACTAATATCCAAATAAGGATCTGCTCTTCCTGGAGAGAATTAAAACTGTTTTCTGAAGAACCATGTTGTTTAGACAGTCCAAWGGTTACTGACTTGTAGCACAGGCCAGAAAACACTTAAAGACTTTCCTTACATACTTTTGCGATTTGTGATGGAATTTATGAAGTTTCCCATTATTCAAGAAATATGCAATACTTTTCACTGATTTTGTTATATTCAAATAGACTGGGAGTCATAAGAGTGGGCTTATGAAGTCAGTGATATTTKTAAGAATATTTTAAAAATATAATTGCTTAGAAGCTTAAATAAAAATTTAGATGGTTAGTGTATTATCATTTTGGAAAATAAAAAAAAAGGCAGTTGTTTTTGCTGAAATACTCAAGATTGGGTTTTTAATGAGAAAAGTTGCAAAACTTGGACCCTTGGGAAAGAATTACATTATACACTGTAAATGAGTGTAACTTGTTATTAGTCTTGCTGGACACACTGTAGGTAAAGCACTTAGTTAAAACTGTTTTCCTCAGAATTCTTGTTATGTTATCTTGAGAGTTATGTTCAAAATGTAATGCCTGTGTTGTTTTCTAAAGCAGTGGACCTAGTCAAACAAAAACAGTTGACTCATTTTACAAATATATGAGAAGGAAAACATTTTCTTTTACTTTAGTTTTTTTTTTAATATTGTCTTGTATTGTTCCAGGCAAGAGTGAAAGGTTGTTCATCATTATTAGAAAAAAATGATTTACTATTAATTCATTATTATTCAGTATTAATTATGATTCATTATAGTTCAYTATTAATTCACCATTATTTACTGCTAATCTCATTTGGTCATGTGTATAATACAATAAYAATAGTCTAGTACTGTCTGCAATCKGTTATGAAAGAAAATCAAATTCTTACATGCTTATATGAAGAGTGATGTTTCTATACAGAAAAAAACTTGTAGAATATGGATATGTTGGGCAATCTTTTATTACTCTTTCAACAATACCCTTTGCCAGCTGTTTTAAATATAATTTGAACACTGATGGGAACAATGATAATGAATTGTGCTTGTGGCAATGCTTGTCTTAGCTCACTAATTGCATCAGTTCAAGCAGATGAGAGAGGGGCTGCACATTTTTGTTTGTAAAAACCAGAGCAATTTGCTGAATTTGGGGAGACAGAATAGGTAAATGCAGTAGCTGTCGCACTCCTTTTCTGTATTATCTGTAAAGTGTTTGATAATCAGTGGATATCTTTTTTTTTTTTAGAGTAACTTTTAGAAATACTCAGTTTCCAGCTGAAAACATATAGGCAACATTTTCCCTGCCGAGATGTTCTTCCCCACAAGGATTTTAGAAGGTGCCCTTTGGTTCAGCTGCTCTG